ACCAAACCAAACATCATTGGAATGCTTGAGAATGGGAAGCTTGGGACAGGTTTTGTTAACATCACGAACGAAGACGTTGGATTGTCGTGGCCAGCGTTGCGACGAGACGGATGGTTGCGTATTTTTCTGGTTGCTAGGCTTCTTCCATTTGCACGGTTTGATCAACCACCGGTTGAAGTCAGTTGGTCGGGATGTTACGTGGCGTACCGTTTTGCTTGGGTTAGTTGACGTGGAAGACATCGTTCAAGGTGGGGAGTTTTGGCTGGGGCGGCACATCTGTTAAAATGATAACACAGGTGTCCTAAGGTGAGCTCAATGAGAACAGAAATCTCATGTAGAACAAAAGGGTAAAAGCTCACTTGATTTTGATTTTCAGTATGAATACAAACCGTGAAAGCGTGGCCTATCGATCCTTTAGTTCTTTTGAATTTTAAGCTAGAGGTGTCAGAAAAGTTACCACAGGGATAACTGGCTTGTGGCAGCCAAGCGTCCATAGCGACGTTGCTTTTTGATTCTTCGATGTCGGCTCTTCCTATCATTGCGAAGTAGAACTCGCCAATTGTTGGATTGTTCACCCACTAATAGGGAACGTGAGCTGGGTTTAGACCGTCGTGAGACAGGTTAGTTTTACCCTACTGATGAGTTCGTTGTCTAAACAGTAATCCAACCCAGTACGAGAGGAACCGTTGGTTCAGATAATTGGTAACTGCGGTTAGCTGAAAAGCTAGTGCCGCCAAGCTACCATCTGTAGGATTATGGCTGAACGCCTCTAAGTCAGAATCCATGCTGGAATAGACGATAATCACCTTTCCCGATGTGCCGCGAATAGCGATAGGTGTCTTCTGGACACCCAACATCATACAATTGCAACGCACTCCGCTGCCTGTCAAGTACTGGCGGGTGGAGAGTAGGCTGATTTGTAATTTCAAATATTGGGAAAGATAAATCCTTTGTAGACGACTTAACTACAGAACGGGGTGTTGTAAGCATGAGAGTAGTCTTGTACTACGATCTGCTGAGATTTAGCCCTTGTTCTATTGATTTGTTCAGAAATGACCATTTCTCCCCCCAATTGCAAACGCGCAATGTTAAAACTATAAAGTTAAAGCAGTCGAAATAAGGCTGCGTTAAAGTGATTTACTTTCGCTATGGGGCGGCGAAAGTAACCGGTCAAAGTGCTGGTAGAGAGTTAATACTGTTAAGCTTAAGATCGTCAAAGTCTTTGTTTTGGCTTAGTGAGGTTTGTTCGCAAAAATCGCTAAGTGCCGCTGCTATTGTTTTCCGAGCCAAATTCGGCGACCTTAGTATCGGGTTTATAACAGGCAGAAAGCGAGAAACACTTTGCGTGAAAATCGCTAAGTGCCAGCGCTAATGATTTCTGAGCCAAAATCGGAGATTTTAGTATGGGGGTTTAACAGGGCAAGTTAGACGGCAGGGCGTAAAATTAGACTTGGTTTAAACTATGTTAAAAGAGAGCGAGAATAGCATAAAAATAGACTTGGTTTAAGTATGTTAAAAGATAGCGGAATAGCGTGAATTAGACTTGGTTTAACTATGTTAAAGAGAGCGGAATAGCATGAAATAGACTTGGTTTAACTATGTTAAAGAGAGCGAAACAGCGTGAAGTAGACTTGGTTTAACTATGTTAAAGAGAGCGGAATAGCATGAAATAGACTTGGTTTAACTATGTTAAAGAGAGCGGAATAGCATGAAATAGACTTGGTTTAACTATGTTAAAGGGAGCGGAATAGCATGAAATAGACTTGGTTTAAGTATGTTAAAAGAGAGCGGAATAGCATGAAATAGACTTGGTTTAAGTATGTTAAAAGAGAGCGAAATAGCGTGAATTAGACTTGGTTTAACTATGTTAAAGAGAGCGGAATAGCATGAAATAGACTTGGTTTACCTATGTTAAAGAGAGCGGAATAGCATGAAATAGACTTGGTTTAACTATGTTAAAAGAGAGCGAAATAGCGTGAATTAGACTTGGTTTAAGTATGTTAAAGAGAGCGGAATAGCATGAAATAGACTTGGTTTAACTATGTTAAAAGAGAGCAAAATAGCGTGAATTAGACTTGGTTTAAGTATGTTAAAGAGAGCAGAATAGCGCGAATTAGACTTGGTTTAAGTATGTTAGAGAGAGCAGAGTAGCATGAAATAGACTTGGTTTAGGTATGTTAAAAGAGAGCAGAATAGCGCGAATTAGACTTAGTTTAAGTATGTTAGAGAGAGCGGATTAGCGTGAATTAGACTTGGTTTAAGTATGTTAAAGAGAGCGGAATAGCGTGAATTAGACTAGGATAAAGTATGCAAAATGAAGCTGAGGACTTTGTGAAAAAATGCGAAGTTGTTTGCTGTTCTAATTGTATGGGTTTGGAGATGTTTTTGGCTTGGATTAATAACAGGCAGGAAGCGCGAGGAAACGCAGCGAATATGGACGCGTACGCGGAAGGTGACGGCGGAGGAAGCGCGGATATGGAGG